CACAGCTTCTCGGCGTCCCCTCCGCCCAGGGGGTCCCTGGGGTGGCGCCTGGCAAGGCCTCCAGCCCAGGTGCGGGAGCGGGGGGGGCGGGCGAGGGGCCTGTGTCCTGTGGTCGCTGGGCTGGTCTACGGGGTCCAGAGAAGGGCGCAGGCTCCCCACTCCCGCACCCTCCATTTCTCACTCGCTGGTATGACCCCGTCCTCACCTGGGGGTGAGGTCACCGCTGGCCTATGACCCCGTCCTCACCTGTGGGTGCAGTCACCTCTGGTCTGTCACCCCGTCCTCACCTGGGGGTGAGGTCACCACTGGTCTGTCACTTCAGTCCCTATCTGGGGGTGACTTCCTCTTCGCTATCAGGGGTGTAGATTAGGTTTCTGAACAGAGACAGGCTTTATGTATCCCCCTGCTTGGGAGGGACATTTGTGGGAAGCCGATGTTGGTAAAAATATGGAAGTTAATTTTCCAAAGGCTGGTGGTCATGCTGGGAGGTTTCCCCATCCAGAATTTTATTAAAGCCTTGCAATAATTAAAAAATAAATAAATAACCCGGGCCTGTGGTATTAAGAGAAAAGCGAGGGATGTGGCCAATAGACCCCCCTCTCCCCAGCTGGTGGGCGGAGGATGATGTAACCTGCACCTGCGGCCGGACATTCCTGAGCACCTACCCAGGCACCTTACATGGACTGGACACTGAACCGCCAATCAGCACCTGCCAAACACCCTCAGCCTCGATTCCTAAGTCCCTAAGTGCCTAATCATGTGCCTCACAGGAAACCACCAATCAGCGGTGCCGAGCGCCCTAAGCCCCGTCCCTTCCCTCTCCTCCCCTCAAAAGGCGTGCTCCCCTCTGCACTTATTGCTCCCCCTGAGAGGCAGCCCGGCAGGTCCTCCTCCTCCAATGAAGCCTGCGTCCTGGTGTTCGGCCTCGGTCTGGTCTTTCAGAAGCCAGAGTCCAGTGGCTTAGCGGGAGCTGGCATCGGGCAGTAGCTGCCTGGCCTCTGGGGAAGGAAGGGGCTCGGGAAACGGAGAGCGGGACCCCGTAATGGCAGGTGGCCGATGCCGGGGCAGGGCAGCTCCTCGGTCCTCGCTCCCAGGAAAGGCCCCTCCCGCCTGCACCGCCCGAGAAGGGACCCCGAGTCCCTCAGGGTCCCTCCTCGGGCGGCCTTTTCGAGATGATGGTCGATTTCCCCCGAGGGGAAGGTGTGGACTGAGAGACGCTGCTTCAGCTTTGTCCCCAGAGCGGCTTCCAGGGGCCTGTCCAGGGCTCATCCTTCCATCCTGATGGGAAACCCCCAATGACCTCAGGGAACCTGCATGGTGTCGGCAGCTGCTGGAGGTGCAGAATGAGTCACGATTGCCAGCACCTGACTTGGGCTTCTGGTTTGCCGGAGGAAGCTTTGAGAATCTCACTTGGCGCTGAGACACTTTTGGGGGCTCTCACCTCCCCCCCAGAAGACGAGAAATGCAGGCACCAAGCGGCCTGGGTCCCGGGACAGGTACCAAACCCGCCGTCTCTCGGGCCCATTGCTGATCCTGTGCTTAGCCACAGCTGCAGGCTCCTGGGAGCAGAGGTGCAGGTCATGCTGAGGGACACCCTCCCCCTCGTGCACGAATTTCATGCACTGGGCCTCTAGTTTGATTACTATATTGAAATATGTAAATTATTGGAGGTTAGAAAATTAAATGTTCAATAGGGCGTTAAGTGGGCTAATATATTTGCATAATTTGTTCCTCCAAGATGGGATCAGCTCCTAACATCTCCCCTGTCACTTCCTGTTTCCTGGAGCCGGTGAACACTGGGGCAGGAATACATTTACTATGTTTGTTTGGCCTTAGACCTTGGTTTTCAAAATATTTCCAAAAATGTTTTTAATGTTCAAAGCTTAACCAAAACTTTAAAAAATATCATAGTGTCATATATACAGGATGTCTCAAAAAAAAGTATATACATACTTTAACAGTGGATGGTTCAATTTTACAAGGAAATGTATTTTAACAAATACTGCTTTTATAATTATTCAAAGTGTTTGTATACTTTTATGGGATACCATATATACAGGTATATATGTGTATACACACACACACACACACTGAGTGGCCAGATTATTATGATCTCTGAACGCATAGTAATCTGGCCACTCATTGTGTGTGTGTAATTTTTTTTTTAGAGGTCTGGTGCATGAATTCGTGCATGGGTGGGGACTGGCCAGCCTGGCCAGGGGAGGGGACATGGGTGGTTGGCCAGCCTGCCTACTGGTCAAACTCCTAGCCCAGGGGACAAATGTGCATATTAGCCTTTTTATTATATAGTGGCCAGATTATAAAGTGGAAAATAAAAATTTAGAAACTTATATTTTAAAAAAATTAACCTTTTCCAGCCTCTCCCAATGCAGCCTCGTTCTTCCTCTCACACTCCGTTTCTCTGTCTGTAAGGTGGGTTGATAACAAATCCCACAGGATCTTATTTTTATCAGCACTCCTGGAGCACTTAAACACAATTTCTTAAACGTGTCAGAACAGCAGGTACTCTACGGACGCCAGGCTGCTTTAAAAACGTTACCAATCAGCCACTGTTGATTGGGACCAGGAGTTGGGACCAGTGTAGCTTGGGCATCACTACACTTACACACGCTACCAATGGGGTTTTCAATGAGTCAGAAAAACACTAGCAGTTCGCACGGGTACGTGGCCGCCTCTGCTGTGCAGTCCCGTGTGCCATGGTCTTTCACACAGAGGCCCTGCAGGAGGCCACCCTTCTGGCCTCCAGATGCTGCTTCCCTCCCTAGCAGAGACCCCGTGCTCTTCCCGGGCCACCAGCCACGTCACTGCCAGCTTCACAAGCCGATTTTCTCCTCTCGGAGCCAAGTCACTCCTGGTGGCAGCATCGCCAGGAATAAAGCTCTTTCTGTTAAAATTCCGCTGAAACTGGGTCTGACGACCCGCATGGCTCTTGTGGAACCTCGCTGAGACAGCACCTGCCATATGGACACCGGGGTGCCCGCCGCAGACGGGAACAACACGCAGCTACTCAAGTCTCTCCAGAAGCATAAGGGGACAGAACGCCTACCGACGCCTTTCCGCCAGTCACCGCGCTTTTATTATATTTCGAGAAAGAAGACCAGATAGAGGTCCATTGAAGGCTCCGTCCCCATGGCACTGGTTCAGCACCTCGGGCTCCCGCTGAAAAGCCTCCTTATGTGGCGCTGGGCTGGGCAGCAGAGAGAGCGGGCTGGGGACAAAGCCCAGCAGGAGCCCAGAGTCCCCACGGCTGGAGAGAAATTATCTCCGGGATGGAACAAAGTAATGACGGAATAAAGAGGCTTTGTCCCAGCAGCTCCCTGTTTCCATTCCTCAGCTCTGGGCATTCCAGAGACGCAGGCTTTCTGCTACAACACAGGGTGGCAGGGTGAGAGGCCCGGTTACTGCATGGGGATTATCCTAGGGGAATATGTTCTGCAGCCAGTTTTTTTTTTTTTTTTTTTTTTGCGGGGGGGGGGGGGGGGTTGCGGTGAAGAGGGAGCAATTGAAAACACAAAGAGGCCCTAGCCGGGTGGCTCAGTTGGTGAAAGCCTCGTCTGGATACACCAGGCTTGCAGGTTCAATCCCTGGTCAGGGCACACACAAGAATCAACCAATAAATGCACGACACATCAATGTCTCTCTCTCTCTCTCTCTCTCAAATCACTCAAAATTAAAAAAAAACAAAAACAAATAAAAAAACAAATAAAAAAAACATCCAAAAAAAATTCTCTAAAATTTACAAAACAGCCCTGACTGGTTTGGCTCAGTGGATGGAGCGTTGGCCTGCAGACTGAGGGTCCCAGGTTTGATTCTAGTCAAGGGCATGTACCTTTGTTGCAGGCACATCCTCAGTGCAGGAGGTAGCTGATGGATGTTTCTCTCTCATCGATGTTTCTAACTCTATCCCTCCTCTCCCTTCCTCTCTGTAAAAAAATCAATGACATATATTTAAAAAATAAAATGTACTGACCATGCTGTGAAAATGAACCTTGAGTGTGCACCTGCCCTGGGGGACTTAGAGGCTGCCCTGCAGTATATATACACGCCCGCTCCTCCCCATTATTGGTTATTTTCCACTTTTTAATTTGTTATTTTTTAACGTTGGGGCCCAGTCTGTCCATGCAGCCTCCTGGATGCGACCTGGAAGCCGTGTTTCCAGCACAGCAACCCGGCGGCGCCAGGGCGGGCGGGCACCGGGGCCCGGGAGGAGCGGGAGATTTCAAACCTGCCCGCTGACCCCGAGCGCGGGGTGACCGCCGGAGGAAGGCCGCCGGGGAGGTCGGTGCGGTCTGGCCGCCGCCGGGGAGTCACTCGCCCCGGGGGACACGCTCACAGCCGGGGACGCCGGCGGCGGGAGGGCGGGCGGCGAGGCCTGGCTCGGACCCCACGCCCGGCCGCGGGTCCCCACACCGGCTCTGCCCCGCCCGCCCGCAGCTGGGCCCCGGCCCCTCCGGGACCAGCACCTCTGGGACCCGCCCGCCGGCCCGAGGGGCCGCCCTGGGGACCGGCACCCCCGCGCCGGGCCCGGGGCAGCGGCGGCGCGGGCGGGAGGCGCGGGGTGCGAGGCGGCGCGCGCAGCAGCACCTAGCGGAGGCGCCGAGGTGCGGCCGTGCGCGTGCGCGGGGCGGGCGGGTGCGCGGGGCGGGCGGGTGCGCGCACGGCGGCGGGGCGGGGCGGGCGGCGCGTGCGGGCGCGCAGGGCGCACACCGGCCGGCGGGGCTGCGGCGGCGGCTGAGGCGGCTGAGGCGGCTGAGGCGGCCGGAGCTGAGGCGGCGGGTCGGCCGAGGCGCCGCGCAACCGGAGCCGGAGGGGAGCGCGTGGAGCCGGAGCCGCGGAGGCCGAGGAGCGGGGCGGCGGGAGGCGGTCGAGCGCGCGGGGAGCCCGGCCCGCCGACCTGAGGGCGCGCGGTCCGGCCGGCCCCACCCGCGCCCGCGCCCGCCAGACCCCCGCGGCGCCGGCGGAGGAGCGCGGCCGCCAGGATGTCGGCGGGCGGCCGCGAGGAGGAGCGGCGGAAGCTGGCGGACATCATCCACCACTGGAACGCCAACCGGCTGGACCTGTTCGAGATCAGCCAGCCCACCGAGGTGCGCCGCCCCCCCTCCGCCGCCCCGACCCCCGCGGCTCCCCCTCGTGTGCCCCGGCCGCCTCCGGGTCCCCGCAGCCCAGCCCCGGGCCCGCGCCGCGCGGGCGGTCACCTGTGCCCGGGCCGGGGCGGGGTTTCGGGCCGGGGGCCTGGGCCGGAGGCGGGGGTCGCGGTCCCAGGGGCCCAGGGCTGGGCCGGGCGGACGCCGGGGGCGGGTCCGGGCCCGGGGCGGGGGGTCCGGGCCCGGGGCGGGGGGTCCGGGCCCGGGCGGGGGGTCCGGGGTGGGGGTCCGGGCCCGGGGCGGGTGGCGGCCGGGCCGCGGCGAGGCCCCTCGTCCTGCGGGGCGGGGGGAGGGCGTGGTCGGGCCGGTTCTGTCCGTCTCCCCGGACCGCGGCCCGGTTCGGGCGCCCGCGGGCCGGGACCTTTGTCACTCGGGCACGTGACGGCGCTGTGCCCGGCGCGGGGGACTGGGGCGCGCGGCGGGGCGGGGGCGGGCGGGAAAGTTGTGCGGTGGCTTCGCCCGCACCCGGGGGCCGGGCTCCGGGGAGCGCGGCTCAGGTGGCGGCCGGGCGGAGGGCGGGGGCGCGGGAGGCCGGGCCGCTCCCCGCTCCGCGTCCCCCGAGCCCCGGGAGCCGCGGCCGGCAGACAATGGTGGCGGCGGCGGAGCTGCCCACAGCGTGGGGCAGGTTTCCCGGAGCGGCTGGGCCGGAGGGGGCCGGGCCGGCTCTTCCCCAGACGTGTGGGCCGGTCCCTGGGGAGCGCGGCTGAGCCGCGGGAACCCCGCAGCCCGGCGTCCGCTCAGCGCCGCGGTCTGGGGCCCGTCCCTGGCCGCCGGCCTGGGCGCACCTGGGACCCGGGCCTGAGACCTGATCCCGCCGCCCGCGTCTGTCTCTGAGCAAGGACCCTGCTCCCTGGAGCCAGGGGTGCGCCTGCAGGGTGAGCCCCGGGCCTCAGCTCAGGGGGGAGCCACTCTGCACCCAGACTTCCCGGGTGCGGAGCCCCCGCAGCCCGTGGAGGCTGCACTGCAGAGGGTGCTCTGCCCCCGCTGTACCCGGTGCTGGGCCCCTGGGGGGGTGCTGACAGCCCCCCCATGGGAGAGAAGGTGCTGTGCCCCCGGGGAGGTGCTGACAGCCCCCCCATGGGGAGAACTCTCGGGGTGCCTGGTTGCCAGCGTTATTGCTGTGTTTTTTTTTGTTGTGTTCCCAGCCCACTGAAGGTAGGCGAGGCTGAGCTGTGGTGTTGGGTAGGTTATGTCTGTTCAATGCATTTTCGATTCACTTTATTTTCACAAAGGATGGGTTTAATAGGCTGTAACCCATTGTAAGGCGAGCGAGCACCTGTGTAGATTTTGGGGTTCAGGCGGCCCACTTGAACATGATGTGTTATGTTACTGCGGATTGACCACTCGCCGTCCATGCTTTTCTGAGTTAGATGCTCATGAGGAAGTTGGTGTGTGTGTTCCTGGACTTCCCCGCGGCTTTGGGAAGGTGACGGCAGTCAGTGGCTCTCAGGGTCACGTTGTCTTTCAGAAGAATGAATTCATTTTTCTTGTCTCTGGTTTAAAAAATTCGGACGTAAAATATTATCTTGGCACAGAGTTGTTTTTCTGCCTGAATGGGTCTATTTATCATTGTTTTTCGGGAGATTTACCATGTCTGGTTGAGGAAAGGAATATTTTTTCATTTTAGTAATAAGTACTTAATGCAGTTTACTCTTTGGAATTTTAAATTGAGTTGGTGCTTTAAAAACTCCTAAATCGGAACATTTGATAGTTCTCTGATTTCACTAAGTTCTGTTTGTAAGCGCCCAGTTGCCGGTTCCTGTTTCCTTACATGTGGGCGTTGGTTGCAGTAACGTGGCCTGTCAGTGGGAGAGCCTCTGCAGGTGAAAAGCTGCTGCCTACCTGTTTGTTTTGTTGAAGCAAAACAAACGTTGAAGAACTTTTTCATTTCTTATTCCCTCTTATTCCTGAACAGTTCTGTTTTTATAAATGATCTCCAGGATTTATTAGAAGGCTTTTCATGATGAATAAGTTGTTTTTGAATGCCCATACGCTGTTTTCTCATTGTCTGGTATCTAGGTCTCACTTCCTATTTGCGTTTTCTAGAGCAGCTTTGCAATACCATTACACTTATTCTGGTCTTGAAGTTAAGCTCTGCATTTAATGTGCTGGAGCTTTCGCTGTGATCTACCCGGTAGGTAAACGCATGTCATGTTAGATAAGTCACTATTTTAGTGCCAGTTGGTTCTATCTAAATGTCTGAAATATTTTACCATCTTGACGAATTTTTCTATCGGGCTATCACAAATCCTATTTCTTAGTTTTCTGTAAGTCTGCTAGCTCTCTGCTAGCGTTTATTGTGCTCAGCAAGTGGTGAATAAATTCACTGCAGAATTTGATTTGTAGGAATGAGTGGTAGACCTTATGCTTATATGTTTGTGTAATCTTGTGTATGTGCATGAGAGCATAGTGATGGTTTGTTTCCTTTTGGGGAGGTACAATGATCAGTATCTGTTAACAACCCCTACAGCTGCATTGATCATTTACAATTGGTGGTTTCCGGCAGCCTCGATAACCGCTGATAATCCTGCGGTTTCTGTTTAGGATGATGATAAGCTTGGCTTTTGGATTACATTCACTTTTTAAGAAAATCAGAGTATGTTTGAAAATCAACCTGGTTATGTTTGCTTTTTCTTTCTCATTTGTATTTGGATGCATAAGGAGGGCTTCCAAGTAAAAGCAGGTTATCTTGTCATCTTTTATCACCATGTATTTTTCAGCCCATCCTCAGTTGGATTCTAGATTCTTTTGGAATTTTCAGATGAACTGATGACCAAACTCGGTGTTGACATATTCTCACCGGGAGACTGATTTGAAGCTGAATTAATGTCTTTGTTATTGTGGAACATGATGGCTGGTAACACAAGCTTCTTGAAGCTGTTAGTCTGTCCTTTTCCGTTAGTGATGTTAAGGTGTCACTTCTGTTGGGGGTTTCTGATGCCTTCGTGTGGGCTAGTGCTTCTTGCTGGTCCTCACTTCCCAGCATCCTCCGGGCCTCTGAGAGCAGCACCCTCAGGCCTCCTGTCCTGTGGTGTCCGCGCTTAACTTGGACCTATACTGTGGTTACAGCTGAGGTTCTCTGTCTCTGTCCCTGGCCATCTATGAAAGCAAGAGTTCAGAGTGCTGTTTTAAATTATTCTAATGACTATCATTGGTAGGTGCCCAATAAATATATTGTGGAAAGAATATTGAATGTTGCTTTCTTTGTGTGCTGGCAAGACGTGGGATATATGCTTTTAGAAAACAGTGAAATTGTCTGTTAGGTTATTAAGTATTGAAGACCAGGCTTTCAAGTCTCATTCTTTTTTTTTTTTTTTTTTAATCAATCTTTATTCATATTATTACAAAGGTTCCTCATTTCTTCCCCCTCAAGTCTCATTCTTTTGTATAAAGATTAAACTAAATGCAGAAGCTATACTAGCTAGTTGACCACTTTGCTTCATGAGATATTTTTTTAAAAATATATTTTATTGATTTTGTACAGAGAGGAAAGGAAAGAGATAGAGAGCTAGAAACATCGATGAGAGAGAGTCATTGATCAACTGCCTCTTGCACAACCCCTACTGGGGATCTGCCCGCAACCAAGGTACATGCCCTTGACCGGAATCGAACCCGGGACCCTTCAGTCCCCAAGCCGACGCTCTATCCATTGAGCCAAACCGGTCTCGGCTCATGAGATATTTCTTAAAGTCATTTCTTTTGTTTATTGTTTCTTGAGTTCACTGCCTTCTTTTTTCACTGATGAGAAAAATAACCTAGAATTACATATACTTTACCAAAGATGAATATTTTAATACTTTTTTAAACTTGAAAAAATATTTACTTTTTATTACTACTTTTAAGAATAGTTGGTTGTTTAATGCTCTGATTGATCTTGAGACATAACGTGGTGGTGATTTCATATCACCCAGAGGGGTGTGTAAAATATAACGCCTGGCTGGTCAGCAGAGGGAGGTGAAGTCTTTGATGAAGGAGTTACCAATGACATAGCTTAGGCTCAGCCTGTGTTCCAGACCAGTGCTTAGTGGCAGCTGTGATCATACGACTTAACCTAGATTTGAAGCTATTTAAAAATAAGAGTTGTATTATTATTGTACATTAGCTCTTCGGAAGGTCTTTTTTTCTGGTGATTAATGTATAATGAGATAGTTGCCAATGGTGTGTTTTTAGTATTTATAGGTATATCTGTTCCTTTTTAAAAAATATATATATTTTATTGATTTTTTACAGAGAGGAAGAGAGAGGGATAGAGAGTTAGAAACATCGATGGGAGAAAATCATCAATCAGCTGCCTCTTGCACATTCCCTACTGGGAATGTGCCTGCAACCACGGTACATGCCCTTGTCTGGAATCGAACCTGGGACCTTTCAGTCCACAGGCTGATGCTTTATCCATTGAGCCAAACCGGTTTCGGAGATATATATATATATAACTTGAACCTCGGTGGCGATTATAAACTTTATTTCCTAGAATGACTGGTTAAGGTTTATATTTGTAGGGTGTGTGTGCGTGCTTGAATCTGAGGTGGAGACCTTGTCTAGCATTGTTTAGTTATCTTAAAGTAAAACTCTAGACTAGCTTCAATTTGCTATTTTCCTGCCAGTGAATAACTTTACTTGATGCAGCTTACAGACTCCCTGGCACGCACAGGCTGTCACTATAGGCTTTCTAGAGCCATTACATTTTGGATGAAGTTAATGGAGAAATACTAGTGGAAATAGTCTTTTCAGATTTCTGAAAAAATATGAACCACAGAAGCTCAGGATATGGTACCAAATGGGCGGGAACCGTAAGAACAAGGGTTTCTGGTTTGTTCTTGGGGATTTACTTGAGCAATGGTAGCATGTAAAACATTATTACTCAGTGTTGGTAGTTAATTTGTTTACAAATGGTTTTACCAGACTTAACTCTGGCATAATGTCAGAAAATGCTAACAAAT